GAGAGGTGGCTCAGGTGAGTAAAGAGGAGCGGGGCAATATACTCTCCCCCCCCCCTCGAGTCGTCTATACGCTCCGGTGCACGCGGGTTTCTCCTACTCATCCCCCCTCCTCCTTACCCTCTCGTCGCCTTCTCCCCTCCCTCCTCTCGTCTCCTTCTCTACCCTCTCCTCTCGTCTCCTTTTCCTCCTCCTTCGCTCTCGTCTCCTCTCCTCCTCTTTCCCTCTCGTCCCTTTCCTCCTCCCTCCTCTCGTCTCCTTCTCCTTCTCTTCCCTCTCTCGTTTCTTCTCCTCCTCCCTCCTCTCGTCTCCTTCTCCTCCTACCCCTCCCTCTCGTCTCATCCCCTCCCCCCCATCGTTCCTTCTCCTCCTCCTCCTCCTCTTGTCGACTTCTCCTCCCCTCCCTCGTCTCCTTCTCCTCCTCTTTCCTCTCTTCTCTTCTCCTCCTCCTCCTCTCGTCTCCATCTCTCCTCCCTTCATCTCGTCTCCTCCTCTCCTCCTCCCTCTCCTCTCTCCCTTCTCTCTCCCCCCCCCTCTCTCGCTTCCTTCTCCTCCTCCCCCTTCCTCTCGTCTCCTTCTCCTCCTCCTCCCTCTCCCCTCTCGTCTCCTTCTCCTCCTCCTCCTCCCTTCCCCTCCTCGTCTCCCTTCTCCTCTCCCCCCCCCTCCCTCCTCGTCTCCTCCTCCTCCCCTCCCACTCCCTCTCGTTCCTTCTCCTCCTCCTCCCCTCCCCTCCCTTCTCCTTCTCCTCCTCCCTCCCTCTCGTCTCCTTCTCCTCCTCCTCCCCCTTCCTCTCGTCTCCTTCTCCTCTCCCTCCCCCCCCTCCCTCTCGTCTCCTTCTCCTCCTCCCCCCTCCCTCTCGTCTCCTTCTCTCCTCCTCCTCTTCTCCTTCTCCTTCTCCCCTCCCTCTCGTCTCCTCCTCCTCCTCCCCCTCCCTCTCTCTCCTTCTCCCTCCTCCCCCTCCTCTCGTCTCCTTCTCCTCCTCCCCTCCCTCTCGTCTCCTTCTCCTCCCTCCCCCCTCCTCTCGTCTCCTCATCCCTCTCGTCTCCTTCTCCTCCTCCCCCCCTCCCTCTCGTCTCCTTCTATCCTTCTCCTCCTCCCCCCCCTCCCTCTCGTCTCCTTCTCCTCCTCCCCCCCCTACCCGACGCCTTGAAAACTTTCTTACTTTTCCTTGATATATATATTTTTTATTGTATCTATTCTTTATCACAACACACACACAACACACACACACACACACACACACACACACACACACAACACACACACACACACACACACACACACACACACACATATATATATATAGAGAGAGAGAGAGAAAGAGAGAGAGAGAGATAGATAGATAGATAGATAGATAGATAGATAGATAGATAGATAGATAGATAGATAGATAGATAGAATAGATAATATAATGTATATATATATATATATATATATATATATATATATTTATATTTATATATATTTATATATATTATATATATATATATATATATATATATATATATATAATATATATATATATATATATATAATAAAGCAATCGCTCCTTCATTACGTATAACATTTTCTAGGGTTTATAGCCATCAGTATATTAATACTAACTGATATCAGTAATTGATACTTTGATAAATCATAATCTTAATGGAGGATCCTCTTTCCCTCAGCAATCAGTCGAATCGAATCGTTCATCTTAGCATTTTCGAACACGTAAAAGCCCTCATTTGTCTTCGGATGTGTTTGCGAGAGAGAGGGTCATTCATTTATAGGGACGGGCTGAGATTATGGTGTCTATAGTTGGGAAGGAGATGGGGTGGTCTGGGAGATGCATTTGGGATGTCTTGAGATGTCTTGAGATGTTTTGAGATGTCTTAGGATGTATTTGAGATGGCTTGAGATGTATTTGAAATGTCTTGAGATGGCTTCAAATAGTTTGAGATGTCTTGAGATGCATTTGAGATGTCTTGGGATGTTTTGAGATGGCTTCAAATAGTTTGAGATGTATTTGAGATGTCTTGGGATGTCTTGAGATGTTTTGAGATGTCTTGGGATGTCTTCAAATGGTTTGAGATATCTTGAGATGTCTTAAGATGGCTTCGAATGGTTTCAAGATGTCTTGAGATGTATTTGAGATGTCTTGAAATGTCTTGCGATGACTTCAAATGGTTCAAGATGTCTTAGGATGTATTTGAGATGTCTTGAGATGTCTTGAGATGTATTTAAGATGTCCTGAAATGGCTTCAGATATCTTGCGATGGATTTCTTGAAATGGGCTGAAATGGCTTGAGATGATATGATATGTCTGGGAGATGTTTTTGAGATGGCTTTGAGACGACTCGAGATGTCTTGGGATGGCTTAGAGAGGGTATCTTTGATGTGTCAGTAGATCTCGTTTTTATTATTATTTCTATGAATTCTATATTAACAATAGTTTTTTTTTTCTTTTTTCTTTCTTTCTTCTTTATTTTGAGATGTCTGAAAGATGTCTTCCTAGATGGCTTTAGTTCCGTAGATCGCGTTTTTATTATTATCTTTATGAATTCTATATTAACAATAGTCTTTCTTTTTCTTTTTTTTCTTTTTTCTTTCTTTCTTCTTTATTTTGAGATGTCTGAAAGATGTCTTCCTAGATGGCTTGAGTTATGACTAAAGAAAATGCTTAGTTAAAATATTCCTCTCTTCCTTCTCTCTTTTGTTTTCTTCTTTCTTCTTTTATTTTTTTTCTTTCTTCTTTCCTTCCTATTCGCTTTTCTCTTCTCCTCTTCCTCCATATTCTCCTTGTCATCTTTCGTCTCTCTTCCACCCTTTTCTCTCTCTCTCTTTTAATTTTTCTTCTTCTTCCTCCTCCTCTTTTGTCTTCATTTCTCCTCTTCCTCTCCTCCCTTTTCCTCCTTGTTCTTCTTCTCCACTCGTTATTCCCCCTTTCCTTAGTTCCTTCTTTTTTCCTCTTCTCTTCCCTTCTCCATTCTCCTTCTTCTTGCTCTTCCTATTCCTTCAACCTTTCCATCTTTTCCTTCCTTCCTCTTCTTCCTTTTTACCAATTCCCTTCCTTTTTTCATTTCATTTCCCTCTTTTCCTTCTTTTTTCTTTATTTCCTCCTTCTTCCTTTCTCTTCCCATTCTCCTCTTTCTTTCTCCCTCAGTTCTTTTTTACTCCTGTCCTTCCATCCCCCTCATTAACTTCATTCTTCTTCTTCCTAATTCTTCTTAATCCTTCGTCTCCCCTTCAACCCATTTCCTCCTTGCTTCATTCACCTATATTCCTTCCTCCTCCTCTTTTTCCTTCTTCTTCTTCCTCTCCCACCCTCTTTGACTTATTTCTTCCTTTCCCATCTTTTCTCTCTTTCCTCCTTCTCCTTTCTTCCTTTCTCCTTTTCTCCCTTCTTTGTTCCTCACCTTCCTTCTTCATTTACATCCTTCTTCCTCCTCCTTCCTTCTGTTCCTCTTTCCTCCCCCTCTCCCTCCCTCCTTCTTTCTATCCTCATTCTCCAGTTCCAAAAGCGGCGCTCATTCCCCCGCTACCTGTGCAAACCTAAATGATCCCACTGCCTGTTCTGACATCACGTTGTGTTTAGATTTCTCTTCCTTGAGCAAGGGGTCTAGCTCCCCCCCCTCTCCCCTTCCTTCACCCCATCCCCTCCCCCGTGCGATCTAATCCCCTCCTCCCTTTCTTCTTCCTTTCCCCTACTCCTTCCTTTTCTCTCTTCTTTCTCTCTCTTACCTTTCTTCTTTCTCTCACTCTCCTCTTCCCTTCCTTTCTTTCTTTCTCTCTCCTCTTCCCTTCCTTTCTTTCTTTCTCTCTCCTCTTCCCTTTCTTTCTTTCTTTTATCTATTATTCCTCTGCTTTTTTATTTTTCTTTTTTCTTTCTACTACTTTTCTTACTATTCATTTTTTCTTCTTACTCTCCTTTCTCTTCCTCTCTTCTTACTCCTCTTCGCACCCTTATGCATTCTTCTCCGTTCTCTTTCTTCTTCTCTCTTTACCATCCCTACTTCTTATTCTTCTTCCTCCTCTTTCTCCTTCCTCTCCTCTCTCTCTCTCTCTCTCTCTCTCTCTCTCTCTCTCTCTCTCTCTCTCTCTTCTCTCTCTCTCTCTCTCTCTCTCTCTCTCTCTCTCTCTCTCTCTCTCTCTCTCTCTCTCTCTCTCCTCTCTCTCTCTCTCTCTCTCTCTCTCTCTCTCTCTCTCTCTCTCTCTCTCTCTCTCTCTCTCTCTCTCTCTCTCTCTCTCTCTCTCTCTCTCTCTCTCTCTACTCCCTCTTCCACTTTTTATGTCATTAACCAATACAAAGAAAATATAAGAATGTAATTATACTTTGAATATAGAAATACATTTTTTAGATTAAAAAATGTATATATAAAAATACAAAGTCTAACGCCACAAGATTCATTATTAAATAAGAATCATTTAAAATTGTCATAATTCCTATTACTTAAGTGGAAAAGGTATACGTAAGGAGCTTAGTCGTAAAAATGATTATGATTTAAAGCAGGAATTCTTATATTAAATTTAATTTGATTAAATTCTTTCATGTGAAAAGACGGGGTTTTAATGCAACATTTCCCGTTTTGTTCACGGAAAATCTCTTTTCTTTTCTTCTTTTTTTCTCATTTCCCGTTTTGTTCACGGAAAATCTCTTTTTTTCTTTTTTTTCTCATTCCCGTTTTGTTCACGGAAATCTCTTTTTTTCTCTCTTTTTTTTTTCTTTTCCTTTTTTTTGTAGTAAATATGATATGAAGTAATTTCGTCTCGTATAATATCACGTGATATCGTCGTCACACACACACACACCACACACACACACACACACACACACACACACACACACACACACACACACACACACACACACACACACACACACACACACACACACACACACCACACACACACACACACACACACACACACACACACACACACACACACACACACACCACACACACACACACACACACACACACACTGTTGTTATTGAGACTAATATGTATTGATGCCTGTCCCAG